CACATAATGGAGTATGAAGAAGACCCAGTCAGTGCTGTTTACTGCACCCATGGATGAAGGCGAGACACTGATGATCGTTACAAGCTGTTCTTTAAACTTTTTTCCCAATTTGAAGTTTTTGATGTGAAATGAAACCATTAATGCATGCCCCATGCCACTGAGGATTGACACTATATATAAGGCAACGTTTAATGTCATTTTTACATGAATTTAGATGGATGGTTGGCTTTTGAGGCGTACGCGTTTCAAAAAATCTGTGTTGGTATATTTATGCTATATATGCATACAGTATATATAGGAGTATAGAGAAGATTTACTAAAATTTTACTCATGAATTCAATTACAAATCGACATCTTGGTTTGTTTTTTTTCTCAGTTCAGGTGACTTAATAAAAAAAAAATGTATCTACGTTTTTTCCACATCGAGGGAATTTTAATGAAGGTTTGAGACAGACATGAGGTAAACCAGTGATGGTGACATTTGCATGTTTCTGATGAAGGAGTCGGCAAAACATGAGCTGGATTTGAACCCAAGTGGCACACTTTAAGAGACGTTATTCCTTCACTCCTTCCTTTTATTCTTCCTTTTCCTACAGTAATATCTTGTAGCTTAATTTCTTACCGAGTACCACGTCTCTCCTTCCAGCCTGAGGGAGATCTATGCATGTTCTTTACTCAGGTCCATTAGCCTCCTCAGTTTCTTCCTCACATCTATTCTCTCTCTCTCTCTCTCGTCTTTTTCTTCTCTCTTTCTTCTCTCTGTGCACTCTTGCACTCACACACAAATAAGCAGTGATGCCTTATCTGCAGATTATTCACTTTTCATTAAGAAAAAAAGATAAGTTATGATAAATTATGGTATAATGTCATTTGTTTTGCCATTTTTTGTGAACCCACTGTATAAATGAACTTGGGTTTAGCACACAATAACAGTTGATAAAGGATAACAAAGGTATGCTCTTCTTTTATCTGCTATGCATTACTTAAAGAAAAAAAAACAACAGAAAAGAAGTGGCTGTAAATAAAGCTAGCATATTGCCTTGTTTCTTTTTGTTTGTAAATGAACTTTTTGTATGTCTTTCTTTTTTGTATAAAACTTAGAGAAAACATGTTTTAAAAAGTGGAAGAAAGTGAACGTGGTTATCTTTGTATTCTGGATATACCCTCGAGCCTTGGAACTTGTAACCTAACAATAATACATCACACCTTTTCTACCGATATATTCACACCATGTTACGGTCACAATAAAAGGTCTTTTTATGGCTCTTTAAGGATCAGGAATGTGCTTGGGCTAAAATGCATTTAAAACATGTTCTTTTCAAAGGGTGTGCTCTCAAAGTGTCCCCCTCACTGATTTGTGATACTGGATGCTGTATTGTGTGCCCTTAAATGTATTTTTGTACTAATAGACAATATATTATGTATGGCACACCAGTACCATTTTATTTTTAGATATAACACGGCTTTAACTGGATATTAGCTCTTCACGTGTGGCTGACTTTTTTTCTCTTCTGCAACACAATTTTAAGTATACCACTGTATTAATAAATAAAATCATTTTTAAAGAGTGTGTGTCTGAATGTTCTTTTCGCCTCTGCTGATCACAACTCCTCTTAAGCTTCCTGTTGTTATTATATACATCATTTTGGTACGACTGCAATAGATGAACTGTTTTCATTATTGGTTAATGTAACATTTTATTTATTTTTTAAGATTTAAATTGATTGTTAGTTTCATCAGTTAAATATCAAGAAGTCAAGATGGATCTGGCAAATCATGAAGCAATTTTACTCTTTTATCCAACAGTCCAAACTCACATATATATTCACTTTCACAACAAGACAGACAATTCTTACCTTTGAGCAGCTTGAGCCACTGATGTTTTATTGGTTGTTTTTTTGTTAGAATAATGACTTCACTATGAAAAACCACTGCAGATTAATTTAGTCGTTTAACTAACCCATTAATTGGCTCTACTTCTGAGTGTTATGTTTGGCTGTGTATCTTGGCTCAGGTNNNNCAGGTGAGCTCTGAATGAGTCTGCTGAACAAGGTCAGAAATACAGAAGTCCTTCAGCTCCGATTGTACTGTCTCAGGGTCCTATTGTCAACTGATAAATCCTGTCTTCAATAGCCACATTCGAACAGTCTTACTCCCTACATACACTGAGGACCTGCATGTGGTGAAAAGCAAGAGAAAAGAAGCAAAATATGTTTAAAGAAGTCAAATTGTAGACATTTTAATTTCCCTATTTATATAATTAAAGTGGTGCAGTTACATCAGTAGCCTATGGTCTTTATTTAAAAGGTTTGATTTCATAAAATATTTAGAAAATGTGAGTGCATGTTTGGAAAAAAAGATACAATTATGATGAAAAATGTGCACAATTAAAGGAACCTTGCAGGATGCTACCTTCCTCTTGGTTACTCTTTACCTTTAATACTCGATATGTTCACCTCTTCAGAAACTCTGAGAAAGAGAAAAACAACGTTCTATCTAATCTGTATTTCTCTCAAACCCTCTCAGGACATTTTCTAATGATCACTAATTCTTTAATAATGTGCAGCCAGTCTAATTCCTGTGTGCTCTTCAGGCAGAATCCTCCTCCAGGTGTGTCGCAGTTACTACCTGCCTATAATGAAGGAGAGGTGATACAGAGCCAATGACAATGCAGTGGATGATGTCCTGATGCTGCAGCTGGACTGTGGTTTTATAGAAACGGTAAACACACCTGAACCTAAAGCTCCTTAAATCGGTTGTCCCATGAATTCTGATTACATGATGGAAATGTAAGAAGGCTCAGACTGAATGCTGCATGCAAAACACAAAACACATCATAAATGCGCGCTTCATTCTTCATAATATATATAAAATCATACTGATGCTGCTCCTCTGATGATCACATCCTACCACGTTTCCATCCACTACCACATCACGAGCAGTGGTAACAAATCACGCGCATTTCTTCTCTTTTGTGTGTGTGTGTGTGTGTGGATGCTGCCTGATAGTAAAGACCTCCCCTCCTTCACTATCGTAGTAAAACAGCCTCCGTGCAGCTCGCCGCCATGTAGACGCGCAGAGTGGCACATCTCCAATACGCAGTGTGCATCTCCTGTCCTGGCTCAGAGATTGTGCTGTGTGGAAAAACCCACGGCCGGTGCCTCACGCAGAAACAAGAAGCGCTGCTCGTGGAAGGACTGCGGATTTTCAGACACCAAAACCAAACCAAACCAAAACAGTGATTTCAGAAACCATTTAGACGTCTAATCTTCAAGGAAGCTCGCGCTTTGTTGGGGTTTGTTATCCTCATCTCTCGCTTTAGAGTTGTTGGAGGAGCCTGCAGGGGTCGAGCGTGACAGCGCGACAATGCTGCTTTACAGCAGGATGATGCGTTTCTTTCTTTTCGCCTTTTGACTTTTAGAGGGAATGGGCTCTTTGCCGGAGCGGTCGCAGAGAACTCGGGCGATTTTATTTGGTGTATTTATTTCGACTTGAGAAATATCCCCAGTTTGTGCGTGTGTTATGGTAAACATCTGGTGCCTCGCTCCGTCCGCTCTTTCCTCACCTTTCTCCTCCCAACCCGCCGCAGCGCAGCTCTAATTGGAGCCACTCCGAAGCATCTTAATTGATGGAAATCAGCCACACCGGACACTGACCTCCCGACTGCCACTGCAGGCTCAAACACAGCGACTCTGCTGTCTGTGGATGTTATTGTGTTTTATTGGTGCTGCTGGGTTTTTTGTTGTTGTCGTACCCTTCAGTGACAATGCCGTTGAACGCGCTGCCCCGCGGCGGCAGCAGCAGCATCGGCGGCCCGGGGTCCCTGAGCCCGGCGTCGCTGTCCCGCAGCCTGTCCCGGCTGCGGGAGTACCGGACCCGGACGAGGATCATGCTGGCTCTGGGAGTCTCTCAGATGGTCCTGGGAAGTCTCATCCTGGCCGTCAGCTTCGCGGCTTTGGCTCTCACCACATCACCCAGAGTCCGGCACTCCTGTCCCTTCTGGGCAGGTTTCTCTGTGAGTACAACAATTACACAATGATTTCATTTCAATTCAAGTTCTTATCTCCTGAATAAAAAGAAAATTCACATAGTAGCCTAAAACACACTGTGAGATAAAAAAAAGATTTTTAAAAACATTATTTATTTTTGTATTATTTAGGATCCATAAAATAGGATTATTTGTCACTACACTGGTTTCATAGACTATTGACTGGCATAGGAGACCTAAAATGTTGATATTGTTGCTGTAGACTCAGTATTTAAGGAATATTAGAAACTTGATTGAGTGATTTTGAATTTGTAGGAGGTCCAGTTTTTTAATTCTCAGGTAGAGAGCTAAACTAATTGGTGTGCCAGTGCCATGAAGGAAAAGAAATTAGGTTTTTAAATACATTTTGGAGGACAGGGCCAATAATAGGCAATTAGTTGTGAGTATGCAGAGCTTCTGTGGTAACCAGTGATACAGCACACACACACTTACACACACA